TGTTACCAGTAGAGGAGTCATGAATGCTATCTCTTGATAGACAGACAGGAAGCGACAGAAATGTGATGTTTCTTGGAGAACGTACATTAGAATTTAGCTTCAGGAGTGGAGATTATATAAATGCTAGTATGATCATCTAAATAGACCACATGCATTTCTGGATTGGCTGGCCTCATCAGGGAGGTAGAGGGGCAGAAATAAAAGGTAAGGATAGAATTGTGAAGGCCAGAACAATACAGATGTTATAGTAAAATTAGAAATGGATATCAGAGAATAAGGATCAGAAGAATTGCGCAAGATTTGTAATGATAACTCTTTCTGCCAGCCGACTGAGTTCCGCTGCCACGTTAGGGCCCCCAAAACACCACACAGATTAATATTGGTTACAATGCTGCTGGCCAATGACTAGGATTTCTTATTTGCTAGCTCAGTCTTAAATATCAACCATAACTACTAATCCATATATTTTTCTAAGGACTTATCTTACGGAGGACACTGGCCCTATGCGTCCTCTCTTCCTGGGGATCACATGGCAACTCTCTACTACATTTCCCAGAATCCTCCTTCTCTCCTAGTCCCACCTAACTTGCTTCCCTATTGGCCAACAGTGCTTTATTTATCAACCAATAAGACAAACATACATACAGAAGTACTTCCCCCATCAAAGTTTTTTCTGTAAAGGGAGAATCTGGAACTGCAGCATAAAGCTAGAGGACTTCTAGCTAACATAGTGCTAGAAGACTAGACAAGCCACACAGCATAGTGCTAGAGGACTAGTCAAGACCCATGGAATAGTGCTAGAGGACTAGTCAAGCTACACAGCATCACCAGGAGGAAACTGTCCTTCAGTATTGTTGCAACAATGCAGGTGTTTGAAGCATTATTGTGTCCTGACCAACACCGACATGTTGAGTCCACTTTCCACTTTATAGGAATTTCATGGGGCAAACCCAGAGTTCATAAATAGCAGAAGAAAGAAATAATGCATTTGCACACATTGGGAGAGAGAAGTGGGGGGAGGAGGGACTTGCAGTATTGAAGTAACAAAATAAGAAAGACCAGTAGAAGACAGGATGGTATGTGCATAGCTTTTCATAATATGAAAACAGGATAAATTGAGATATTTTATAACATTTCCAAAAAGTAGGTTAAGATATTTACAGCACATAATTTCCCCCCAGGAAGGAAATAAAACAGACTACCAGAGTCAGGTCTGTGTTTTGAATCTCTAGTTTTGAAGAATTAGCAAAAGTCCCCTGACCTCATTTAAGTAGACATCAAGGATGGGCAAGTTTTCCCCTGGGATGTTTGAAAGTGGTTAAGACTTTTCACTCCATGCTTTTCTGAGCTATAAAGACTTTAAATGTGCTTCATCCACAAGCTCTGTGTAAGGAAAGAACATATGAAGTGTACCTTTCCCCTAAAGCTATAAGCCCAAAAGTAGAGGATGCCTTTGGACATCCTCTAATAGTTCAAATAGTCCATCCATAGAAAAAGCACTTACAACTTGAGTTCCTAAGAGTCATTCACATGGATAACTGTAGACAACTGATATGTCTGCAGTCTTGATTTTCATGACTTTCCTGCCTCACTCTCTACCACCAACTTCCAAGTTACATCTTGTCAAGAAAGCCACTATTTATAGTTCAGTTGTATATATTGTTATGCTTCCCTCTGTGTTCATAACTTCATAACACACACACACACACACACACACACACACACACACACACACAGTATTTTCATTTTGTAAAGAGCATGTTGTGTGGTGCAGGTATCCTGCACATCTGATGGTGCACATCACTTATATACGTATTAACAGAATAAATAGTGTTCTTCTTCATTTAAAGTTTATGAAACATTTTTAAAGGAAAGCTTGTTTTCTTTCTTTTCTATTTTAAGGATTCTTTTGAAGCAGGATCTCAAGGTGTATCTCAGGTTTATTCTCCTGTTTCAGCTTCCTTAATAATTGTATCAATGAGGATTATAGGCCTCAACCTCCATATAAACAAATATTAAGTTAATTGATTGTCTTTAATTTTAGTATATTGCATCATTTACACAAATTATACACCTTTAAGTATTTTTCTACATGGATTTATTAGTTGTTTCCATTCTTTCCCACTGCAAATGATTTTGCAATAGATAACATTGAACATGTTGTCATGGTTTAGATGTGTCTATATCTTCCAACATTTACATGTTAAAACACAACCCAAAAAATGGCAGTAAATTAGATGGAACATGAGTCACTCACAAGGACAGAGTCCTCTTGAACAGCTTTAGTGCCCTTACAAAGGGCAGATAAGGACAGAGAGAAGGTACCATCTGTGAACCAAAGAGTGAGCCCTTGCCAGACACAGAATCTGTCACCCTTTGATCGAAACTTCCAGCCTTCAGAGCTATGAGAAAGAAATCTCTGATGCAACAGCTATCCAATTTAAGGTGATTTATTATAGAAACCCAAGTGGACTATGGAACATATATCTCTATGTGGACCTTTATTTCTATGATACAAATGCTGAAAAGGATTATAGTTTAAAGATTTCTGCCTCAAAGCCACTTTCCATAACTTTGTCAACTTCTACAGAAACAGAGAAACTGGGATGTTTTAAGTGCTCTAACATCACCAATGGAGTTTAGCAGATCGCTCACTGTTACCAAGTGTTCTGAATGGGGCTAGTACAGAGCCAGGACAAATTTTATTGTACTAGGAGGTTGTACTTCCACAGATGTTACTGTCATCATCTGGACATACACACATGCATGCATGCATACATACATACATACATACATACATACATACATACATAATTCACACATGTACATGTTTCAGAGAGGTTCCACATGCCACTGTCCACACACAGGTGTATTCTGGCTCTTCTTCTACCCAGTACTGTAATCTCTCATCTCAAGAAAACACAACCTATAGTAAAATGAAATGCAGTGTGATCTTTCTTGTGAATAAATGAGTAAGAGTAACAAAGGCCCAGGGATGGAGTGAATCAATCACTCAGTTTGGGAGAGAGAAATAGGGAGCTATGAGACACACTTTATTGGAGAGCTAACATTGTAGCTGAGAAAAAAATAGACAAACATCTTCCCTAGGCCTGGAATGTGAAAAGTGAAATGTCAGTGCTCACAGAGGTTAAATAACAGTGCCTTTGTGTTCTGAAGACACAGTGTACCCCTGAGTGATGTTTTGTCAGCACCACTGCATCTGAGAGTTACCTAAGGGCGTTTGTTCAGAGTGATGGCTGATGGACAGCTTCCTCGTGTTCTGCTTTAGTGTTCAGAAAACTGTGATATAAGAACTCTCAGACTGACCAGGCTTTGAAATTTATCAACAGAGCCCTTGTGAGTGGGGGCAAAAAATCAGTTCAAGAATGAGTGACATATCAAGTAAACCACCATGTGGGATAGTTACGGGTTATATCAGAAATGATGTCAAGGTTTCTGAACTTTGGGGTCAAATAAGTTGGCAGCTGAAGTACTATTTTGATTTTTAAAGAAGCTACTCCTTTACAAGAAGTGTTGGCTGAATGGCTAAGTAAGTGAATGCAAAGAGGAGGTTAAGGAAGACAAATAAAAGATTCTTCAACTATGAGAATAGTATAGCTTGCTGGATTTGGCAACAAGGGAAAAAACCAAACCAAATAAATTACTACAACAAAACAATATTAAGGCTGGCAGAGTCTCTCAGCAGATGAAAAGCCCTTGCCACCAAACTTGATATCATCTGAGTTTGATTTCAGAAATCTACGTAAGTGGAATGAGAGAACTAACCCTCATATTGTCCTCTGATCTCCACATGTGCTGCATGGCCTTGGTGTACACACACACACACACACACACACACACACACACACACACAATGTAAAAGGAAAACATAGTATCAAAATAGCCAACTGAAAGCCAGTAGCTGGAGCCTTCCTAGAGAACTTTCTTGAAGAGGTTAAACTGATCATCTCATCAGGCATTGTTGTTTAGATCGATGAACAGGGCAGGTGTGATTACTGAGACTATGATGCAAACATGCGTCACACTCATGTAGTCAAATCCAGACACACGCTTTGTCTCTGCCTCTGAAGCACAGAGCAGGCTCTTACATAATTTCCTAGCTAGTCGGTGTTAGTGCCTGTGATTAATGCCACATGACGGGCTTTGAACTTTCTGTTCAGATGACTTCTCTAGCCTTGCAGAGCTGCTAGCAAGAAGAAATGTGTGACCCACAGACTTCACTCCTGATAACTATCATTCCAGCCAGAAACATTGCCATTACTCCATGAGGCCTCGGGAGGAACCATTTTTGTGCCTTGCTTCTGTCTACAGACAAATTGTCATAGGACTCGAGGTGGGTCTTTAAAACAGAAACAAACCAGAGGAGCGACATAACTTCCCATAGCCCAACCCTGCGAGAAAGCTGATCAAGGATTCATCTGGGAAAAGCCAGAAGGGTCCAGGAAGAGTAGCCACAGCAGAGAAATGATATTGAGGGAGTCCTTTCTCTGCTACCCTCTCTCTGAAACCTCCTGGAGTCCCCCTCTTGCTGGAGCTTCCAGCAGAGCAGTGCTCTCAGAACTGTGAGTATCCCCGTCCAGAACCGAGGCTGTCCCAGTACCGACCAACTTTTCCAGCGTTCACAAGTCCTCCCAGCTCTCCATCAGTGTTCCTGGGCACCTACCCAACCTAGCTTCAGGCTCACAGGGGGCCAGAGTGCCCTGGAGGTTTCTTCTTCCCCTCCCACCCCGCTTCCCCCAACAGCCCCTGCTGGCCAGTATGTTTCCAAGGGAGGTGATTTTAGTTCCTGCACAAATGTATACAAATGTATACCCCCTGGAATCACAGTGTGACCTCGACCCTACCATCAGCCCCGGAAAGGCACCTCGAGAGCAGGCAGTATTGAAGGAAGTTGGACCCCGGGTTGTGAATAGACAGAGGCAGAGAGAGCCCCAATTGACCTCTTCCCACCTGGCAGCTGCTGCCTCCCAGCTACTCACCAACTCCAGGGCTCGCAGGAAGGCAAGGGGTTCCTTCAATGCCCTAAAGGTACCCGCCGAGGCCAGCTACGGATGAATAAGACAAGGGAGAGAAAGAAAAAAAATGAGCGGAGGGCTAGGGGCACCTGCCCAGGTGTCTGGGTCCCAGGCGTTCCCCAATCAGCCGCTTGCCCTGTTCAGTTCTACCTGGCTCACAGGGTCCATGGCTCGCCCTTGATATGTCTTCTCCCGCACAGGTTACCTTCAGGGATGAAGTTCGTCTGACCTACGGTCCCTAGGGTCAAAAGCCACTTCAGGACGTGAGCAGCTGACCCGGGACACAAGCAGGGAGCGCCAGCTGTGGGTGACGGCTCGCTGAGGCTCGGCTGCTCTGTGCACTCCTGAAGCTTGCGGGAGGCGGCGGGAGGCAATAGGAGCTAGAGAGGGGTGGGCGGGGCAGAGTGGGCAGGGGAGCAGCAACAGGGGAGGGGAGAAAGCCAAGCGGTCGGGGCCAGGCTGTCATTGGCCAGCCGCACGCTCCACGGGGGACGGCGTCCGGGTGGGCTAGACACAAGCGTCTCACATTGGTCCAGGCTCAGCGCGCGCTGATCTGGGCTCCGGGGAAACTTTGGGGCTGTTGGCTGGCAACAGTAGGCTAATGTCCTCAGCAAGAAGGTTGTCTGCTGCAAGGGGCTGGCTTCTGGTAAGAAAAGAACACCTACGGTCAGGGGAAACAGGCATTCACTCTGGTGACTTTTCTATGACAAAGAAACCATCGGTCACTAATCATTACCCAAAGCCTGCAAGGAAAGGCTTCCTTGTGGCTAAACGATTTCATACTCTACTGTCCAGTGCTAGACAGTACACTGCTTCTTTCCCTCCAGGAAGCAGGGGTCGGGGAGGAAACTGGTGTGTACTGGTTTATATACTGGTGATAGAGAGGGAAGGCTGAACAAAAAGCTCTCTCTCTCTCTCTCTCTCTCTCTCTCTCTCTCTCTCTGTGTGTGTGTGTGTGTGTGTGTGTGTGTGTGTGTGTGTTGATGGGGGTATGGTGTCAGCATAGAGTGGCTGGAACTGGAATCACTTGATCTTGACTATAGCACCCAGGTACCAGGCAGGTAGCTAATCTTCCTGGCTATGTGTGAGGTCCATAGCAAATTTGCCCTATTTTAAAAGTAGAAAAACAGATGCAATGCAATTAGAACCAGCACGTGAAGGACTAAACTGACATTGAACTTAAAGGACATTTCAAGCCTATACTGTCTCTTTTAATTACGTGCCATAAATGAACCTCCCCAAAATAATGATAAATAGTTTCCATCTCAACCAGAGTCAAATTCTGCTTGAATTTAGTGAGAAGTAGCTCACCTCCATCCACTAATGGGTCAACCTTGCTGAATATAATAAGCAGCAACAACTTAGTTCTGTCAATCAAGAAAACACCTTGCTATGAACTTGACAGACATCATTTCATTAAATATTCACAAACACTCATGGGTTAATAGTATTATTTTCAGTCTAGAGATGAGGACACTGTACCTGGGGGGAAGTGACCTACTCAGTGTTGTTCAGCTTGCAGGCAATGAGCCAGAGCTGGATTAAAAACAGACTCACAGAAAAAAGAGAGGAAGGAGAAGACACGGAAAGAGGAAGAGAAGTGTGCAAATCCATCACCCTTTGCAGGCCTTTCTTCTCCTTTTGGACTGGATTCTACATATGAAGTGGTCTCCCAGCAACACAGAGAGTCCATCTGTTTACTACAAAGATTTGCCAAAAAGGCTTGCACTGTGTGGAGATATGTGAGGGTGTATTTAATATTTAGGAGTGGAAAATAAATATAGAAAGGAATAGTTTGCAATCTATAAGAAGAGACAGCAGCCCAAAATTGGGTAAGAAAGGCAAGTTTTAGGAGAGACCCCCTCGAACCCTGTCAATGGATTTTATTAAAGAAAAACTAGAGATCGCAACAGTGGGAACACCAACAGGCCAGTTGCGCCATCTGCAGCCTCAGCTTTGTTCCTACTGTTGTTCTTCCTACATGCAGATAGCATCTAAAACAATTGTTTAAAAAGGAAGCCTTTATGCAGCTACAGGGTGTGTGGGAGAGGTGAAACATAACCAAGTATCTAGTACTTAGTGTCCTGAATTGTATGTTTATAAACACATGAGTGAATCTGTTTCTTTTCATCTACGAAATAGAAGACACAATACTGGATATTGACTGTAGCTACATGCTATGAGGACTCTAGTAACTTTTGTAGATAGCCTGCCTAAGATAATATCTCATACTTGCATTCTCAAATAATTGTATCTTTCCAAAAGCAACCAGGAACACATAACGATACAGACTGTAGTGTTCACCAAACTTTTAGAGTGCCTCCTCCTTTTTGATGTGACTTCCAGGACAATGTGTATTTCTTTTCATTTCTTTTTTTTTTTTTTTGAATTAGAAATGAGATTGTTTTACATGTCAATCCCAGTTCCCTCTCACTCCCCTCCTCCCCTGCCCCCCTTAACTAACACCCTACCTATCCCATACCATTTCTGCTCCCCTGGGAGGGTGAGGCCTTCCACAGGTCTTCAGAGTCTTCATAAGGCCTGGGCCCATCCCTGAGTGTCTAGGCTCAGGGAGTATCCCTCCATGTGGGATGGGCTCCCAAAGTCCATTCCTATGCTAGGGATAAGTACTGACCTACTTAAGGGGCCCCATAGATTTCCAAGGTCTCCTCACTGACACCCATGTTCATGGGGTCTTCATCAATCCCATACTGGTTTCCAGCTATCGAGCTTGGGACCAAGAGCTCTCCCTTGTATAGGTCAACTGTTTCTGTGGGTCTCACTATCCTGTTCTGGACCCCTTTACTCATCACTCCTCCTTCTCTGCAACTGGATTCCAGTTCACTTCAGTGTTTAGCTATGATTGTCTGCTTCTACTTCCACCAGATGCTGGATGAAGGCTATAGCATATAAGTTAGTCATTAATCTTATCAGAGGAGGGCATTTAAGGTAGCCTCTCCTCTGTTGCTTAGATTGTTAGTTGGTGTCATCTTTGTAGATCTCCAGAGATTTCTCTAGTGCCTGATTTCTCTTTAAACCTATAATCTCTCCTTCTGTTATGGTTTCTCTTATCTTGCTCTCCTCTATTCTTCCCCCAACTCAACCTTCTTGCTCCCTCATGTTATCCTCACCACTCCTCTTCTCCCCTTTTCAATATCCTAGATCCCTCTCCCCTCTCGCCACGCTTCCAATTTGCTCAGGAGATCTTGTCCCTTTCCCCTTCTCCGGAGGACCGTATGTCTCTCTTAGATTCCTCGTTTCCTAGCTTCTCTGATGGTGTGGATTGTAGGCTGGGAATCCTTTGCTCTATGTCTAAAATCTTTATATGAGTGAGTACATACCATGTTTGTCTTTTTGTGACTGGGTTACCTCACTCAGAATGGTTTCTTCTAGTACCATGCAATTGAATGTGAATTTCAAGATTCCATTTTTTTTTCTTCTGAGTAGTAGTCCATTGTATAAATGTACCACATTTTCTCTATCCATTCTTCAGTTGAGAGGCATCTAGGTTGCTTCCAGATTCTGGATATTACAAAAAATGCCACAATGAACATCGTTGAACAGATGTCCTTGTTGAATGAATGTGCTTCTTTGGGGGATATGCCTAAGAGAGGAATTGCTGCATCTTGTGGTAGACTCGTTCCCATTTTCCTGAGGAATAGCCATACTGATTTCCAAAGTGGCTGTACAAGTTGGCACTCCCACCAGCAGTGGAGAAGTGTTCCCCTTTCTCCACATCCTCTCCAGCATAAACTGTCATTAGTATTTTTGATTTTAGCCATTCTGACAGGAGTAAGATGGAATCTCAGCGTTGTTTTGATTTGCATTCCCCTGATGGCTAAGGATGTTGAACACTTTCTTATGTGTCTTTCAGCCATTTTAGATTCCTTTTTTGAGAATTGTCTATTTAGTTCTGTACTCCACTTTTTAATTGGATTATTTGGTGTTTTTGGAAACTAGCTTCTTGAATTCTTTGTAAATTTTGGAGATCAGCCCTCTGTCAGATGTGGGGTTGGTGAATATCTTTTCCCAATCTGTGGGCTGCTGTTTTGTCTTGTTGAGTGTGTCCTTTTCGTTACAGGAGCTTCTCAGTTTCAGGAGGTCCCATTTATTAATTGTCCATCTCAGTGTCTGTGCTACTGGTGTTGTGTTCAGGAACAGTCTCATGTACCAATTCATTCAAGGGTACTTCCCACTTTCTCTCCTAAGAGATTCAGTGTGGAAGGATTTATGTTGAGGTCTTTGATCTATTTCGAATTCAGTTTTGTGCATGACAATAGACATGGATCTATCTGCAGCCTTCTACATGCCAGCCCCCAGTTATGCCAGCACCATTTGTTGAAGATGCTTCTTTATTTCATTGTATAACTTTAGCTTCTTTGTCAAAACTCAGGTGTTCATAGGTGTGTGGGTTAATATCAAGGTTTTCATCTTGATAACATTGGTCTACCTGTCTATTTTTGTGCCAATACCAAGATGTTTTCAGGATCAGGACTATAGCTCTATAATAGAGCTTGAAGTCAGGGATGGTGATGCCTCTGGAAGTTTCTTTATTGTACAGGGTAGTTTTGGCTATCCTGGGTCTTTTGTTTTTCCATATAAAGTTGAGCATTGTTTTTTCAAGGTATGTAAAGAATTGTGCTGGGATTTTGATGGGGATTGCATTGAATCTGTAGATTGCTTTTGAAAAGATTGATGTTTTTACTATGTTGATCCTACCTATCCAAGAACATGAAAGATCCTTCCATTTTCTGTTATCTTCTTTAATTTCTTTCTTTAAAGACTCAAAATTCTTATGATATAGGTCTTTCATTTTGATTAGCGCTATCCCTAGGTATTTTATGTTGTTTGTGGCAATTGTTAATGTTTCTCTGATTTCTTTCTCAGCTCATTTATCATCTGTATATATTAGGGCTACTGATTTTTTTGAGTTAATCTTATATCCTGCCACTTTGCTGAAGGTGTTCATCAGTTGTAAAAGTTCCCTGGTAGAGTTTTTCAGGTCATTTATGTAGACTATCATATTATTTGCAAATAGTGAAAGCTTGACTTTTCCTTTCCAATTTGTATCCTCTTGTTCTCCTTTTGTTGTCTTATTGCTCTAGCTAGAACTTCAAGGACAATATTGAAGAGTTATGGAGAGAATCAACAGCCTTGTTCCTGGTTTT